AATCTAAAGACTGCCTTCAAATATTAACACTTACTGGCTTTCAAAACATTTCCATTTAATTCTCATAGTAACTCTTTGACATACTGTGATTCTGCTTTATCAGTGAAAATTTATTCAAAGACGTATAAATCAATATGTCCCAACATTTCAGAATTGATAAGGGACAGGATCTTGACTTAAATTTGTTGGTGACTTGCTTGCTTGGTTGACTGTTGATTGATTACTTGGTAGTTTAGTTGGTTGGTTGGTTGGTTGGTTGGTTGGCTAGATGGTTGGTTGGTTGGTTTTTGGGTTGGTTGGTTGGTTGGTTAGTTGGTTGGCTGCCTGGTTAGTTGTTTGGTTGGTTTTTGGTTTGTTTATTTATTTGGTTGAGTTTATTTATTTGGTTGATTGGTTGGTTGGGTGGCTGGCTGGCTGGCTGGCTGGCTGAGTGGCTGACTGGTTGGTTGGTTGGTTGGTTGGTTGGTTGGTTGGTTTTTGGTTTGGCTGGTTGGTTGGTTCATTAGTTGGTTAGTTAGTTGGTTTTTGTAATGTTAGCAGTGGAATTCAGAGTCATGTGCAAGCAAGGCAAGGACCCTACCACTGAACTATATCCTGGCCCTTAGCTTAGCTTTACTTGTTCTTCCAATTCAGTATGCTTTCCAGTTCCCCACGTGGCCATTATGTACATTGGTGTCAATGATGAAAAAAGTAGGAGTTAAAGAAACTGGAGATAAGTCAGCAGTTTAAGAGCACGTGACCATTACAGTGGTCATGAGTTCCAATCACCACATAAAGCAGCTCACCACTGGCTGTATCTTCAGCTCCATGGAAATCAAGGCCACTGTCCAGCTACCCTTTGTACTCATACACATATGGCATTCACATAAACACACATACACACACACACACACACACACAAACACACACTCTCTCACACACTCTCACACACACTCACACACAAACAGACACACACACCCTCACACATAGACACAAACAGACACACACAGGCTCTCTCTCTCTCTCTCTCTCTCTCTCTCACACACACACACACACACACACACACACATACATATACTCAATCTCTCACTCACACACACACATTTTAATTTTTTTGAATAAGTGGTATAAAATCTACAATTTCATCAGAAGCAATAACACATAAAGAGCATAAAATAGATCCCACTTCCCATGGGATATCCTTTCAGATTGTATTTCAAGGTCATAATGGAGAGGCTTAATCTGAGTGGAAAGTAAGGACATTTCTACTGTTTTTTAAATAGTTCACTTTGCTATGCTGTAGGTTCTGTGCTACCCCTGTTACATTTTGATGCATACATCAAATCATTGCTAGAACTTTCTCTGAGAATGTGCCATCTGTTACACATCACCACTTGTCCTATGTCTCTGAAACGAAGATGTTATACTCAGTGATACATTATCAACAAAACATGACCTTATTGTATGTATGTTCACACACACACACACACACACGCATATATATACACATACATATATATACATATATATATACATACATATATATGTATGTATATATATATGTATGTGTATATATATATACGGATAGATCAATGTTATTACTAAAGTCTGAAAAGGAGGGGCCAGTGAGATGGCTCAGAGGGAAATGGTGCTTGCTGCCAGGCCTGATGACCTGAGTTTGATCACCAAAACCCATAGGATGTAAACAGAGAACTGACTGTCCCCAAGAGTAAATGTGCACACGTTTGCAGGTGTGTATACCACAAAAGTGTGTGCACACAAAGGAAGCCAGATGGGGGCTTTGGATATTTTGAAGCTGAAGTCAAAGGCCAAGTCTTTGCAGGACGAGCACATTATTAGTCGGATGCTGGGATGCGAACTCTGGTCCTCATGATCTCCCAGCAAGAGTCTTAACCACTGACATATCTCACCAGCCCGTGTGTAGATTTTCCTTCTTGTACTATACAGAAGCCTTATATTTCTCTGCTTAAATGTCACATTTTCCAGGCATATAAATTAAAAACGGCCACTTGCCTAAAAAGACCAGATTGGTACAATGACCCCTCTGCTGACTCACTAAGTAGGTACAACTTAAGCCCTGCCAGACTTAACCTTGTTATGTAAGGATCACCTGTAAAGTGAGTAGATAATTAATTCCATACTCCGATTTAGCCTTGGGAGAGTTTAAAATTAAATCAGATATCAGTGAATAAAGCAGAACGATGGTTGTCAGGGCCCTGGGGATTGACGGCAGGAATTGGGGAAGGCTGGTTAAAAGGCACCGAGCCTCAGCATACATAAGTTAGAGTGATCTACTGTACTGCTTTATAGTTCTGATCTATATAGTACTGTGACTATAATTAATAATGATGTACGCTTAAAATTTTCTAAGAGAGTGCATCTTAAATCTGCACACGTATGAAAAGAAATAAATATGTTAATAAGACTTATTTAATCACTTTACATCATATACTTGTAATAAGATCCTATAAATACATATATAAGTATATATAAGTATACCCTGTAAATATATATGTTTTTATTTGTTGATTTCTTACTTTAATAAAGTAGGGAAGGGAAACTGAACCAGACAGTGCCTTTGAGTGTAAACAGTAAGCTCGTATCTGAAGGAACTTGGAATTTCAGGCAAACTCTGATTCTGAAACACTGCGGAGTTTCCATTTTCGTACATTTCATACATTTCAGTCTATTAATTTATAAAGTAATGGGTTTTATCATGACATTTTCATCCGTGCATAGAAAGTGCCTCAGCCATACCCATGCCCGTGACACTCTTTTATAGGGAGTTTATTAAATGATGAAACTATATTATAGAAAGACATTTCAATGCTCTACTCAGGACACCTAGAGTCTGTTAAGAACGACAGGTCTGGGAGTGCTCATTAGAACGTGAGAGCACTGAGTAGTTGTTCTGACTTACTCATTTCAGACAGAAATTTGTTTAATAGTATGGCCAGATTTTAATCGTCCATCTGAGGGGGGCGGGGTTGGGGATGCTCTCTGGAGGAACCTGCCCCAAAGAATGGATGTACTCAACTAGGGGACTGATGTCAGGCCACTCTTTGCTGGTCACAACTTAAAATATCAAAGGAGAAAACCTATCATGGGATGACAGAGCCTTTTGTAGGATTCCCCAACATTGCACCGGACTCTGAGGTTTGTTGTTTGCAAGGTTTTTGGAGTGATTTGCAGTGTCAATGCCTAAGCCACTAGGATAGAAAGATGGCGCGCTGTGCACACCAGAAGCCCACGCTTTATGGTGGGGTATAATAGAGAAGCTACAGTTAAGGCGGGACTTCTAGCCAAGTAAAATCAATTAACCTCATTCTTGATGAAGTTGTACGGTACCCTAGCACGGGCAGATTGCTGAAGGAAGGGGACCGAGGCTATGATGATTTCGCCCCCCCCCAACCACTTCCAGCTCTTTTGTTGACAGAATTCTGCCGTGTCATGAGACCCTGTCTGAGCTCCTACAATCATGGCTGGTCCACTGGAAACATGGGTGGGTCCTGGCAAAGACGGCCAACTCAGAACGTTTGTTCCAAGTGACCTTCCCTCAGTTATTACTGAAGCTTGGCTCAGGGTCCACCCGGAGTCACCTGTCCCATTGATGGGATAGAAGTAGGAACTGGGGGCTGACTAGAATGATATATATGGCCAGAAGAGAGAAATCCGCTTTCCAGAGAGATCCTCTGTGGCTGTCTGCCACAGAGGGCTTTCTCTATTTCTAAACTGTCTAAATTTGGTTTGCACCAGATTGTTTTGTGATTCTCGTGTGTCTCCTGCATCTGTGTAGTCTTAAATGCTTCCAAAACGTTTTCTTAAATCCTCTCACCGTTTTTCTAATCCTTCCTAACGCATGAGCTGCATAAAATGCAACTCTTTAGTTTTTGTTTGTTTTTTAAATTCTAGTTTTCAAAAATGCAAGCAAATGTAAAGTCTTATAAAAAGTGAATGGTGACGGCTGTGGAAGTGTTCATCATATACTGCACCAAAAAAAAAAAAAAATCAAACAAACAAAAACACCTCATACTATCTCAATTTTGTCATTTCCAGAAAGACATTAGGTCACTTTCTTCGTTACAGCCACCGTTTCTCTTGAATTATGACAAATCAAATGTCCTACACTCCCTCTGCCGTCTCAGAGGCTACAGCAGCGTATTAACCAGCCCTGTTTTTAGAACTGCTCCCCATTTTAAAAACAAAACAAAGAAAATAAAAAAAAAACGGAAAGTGGGAAAAGGAAGCAAGAGTTGGGAAGCTGCTAACTTTATTATTCGTTTAAGCTGTCAGAAAAACAAACATCTGCCCAAGGCAAAAATGGGTAGACTCCGGGAGGCAGCCAGCAGTTCCGAAGCTCTTCCCAGGGGCATATGGAACAGCCTTTCTTACTGATTCTTTTCAAATATTGACATAATCTTTTCCTAGAGCTTAGGAACAACCCAGTAGATTCCTGTTTCCTACGCTCCAAACAGTCTGGGATCCCAGAGTCATTCATTTGGCTGGGGTTGGGGACGAGGTGAGAGAATGTCTACATAAGACTGTCGCAACGGAACACAATTTTACACCTCAGGGCCGCTGCTTGAATGCGTGGTACCCACAAGCCTGGAAGAGAGTCAGAACACCTCAAGGGATGGAGGGCGTGCAGGGCGTCTTTTTGTTTTGTTTTGTGACAGGGTTTCTCTTTGTAGCCCTGGCTGTCCTGGAACTCACTCTGTAGACCAGGCTGGCCTCGAACTCAGAAATCCGCCTGCCTCTGCCTCCCAAGCGCTGGGACTAAAGGCGTGCGCCACCACCGCCCAGCGCGTGAAATGGGGGTGTCTTAAGAATCTAACCATGAGTGAAGAGGGCTGATCAGAAGAGAAAAACGTTCCAGTTTGTCTGGGGCCTGGAGCTCCCCAGATTGATTTGCTCTGGCTAAGGAGTACACGCAATGTCTTCCGGCTGAGTCCGTTCTCTGCCTGAGCTTTCGTTTCCTTTTCTGGCATGCTTTCTTCCAGGCGCCTGGATGCCAACCGCATCAGCTACGTGCCACCCAGCTGTTTCAGTGGCCTGCACTCCCTGAGGCACCTGTGGCTAGATGACAATGCCCTCACAGACGTCCCTGTGCAGGCTTTCAGAAGTTTATCAGCCCTGCAAGCCATGACCTTGGCCCTGAACAAAATACACCACATAGCAGACTATGCCTTTGGAAACCTCTCCAGCCTCGTGGTTCTGTGAGTCTGACTGACTTGGTCTCTCTCTTATATCACTTTCTAAGTCCACTCTGAGATCTAACCTTCAAGTGATAGGCCTTAAAACTAAAATGGAGGCATGTTAAAGGGAGGGAAAAATTCTGAGACCCTCTCTAAAATGACATAAATTTTCCAATTGTGTGAACGATTTAAAAAAAAAATTTATGTAATAACTGATTAGTGATAAACATTCCTGGGCATACGAAGATCATAGCACTTCTACCTCAGCAGAATCTATTGTACGTTTTAAAAGAAATCATCGCAAAGCTAATGAAAAAATTTACTGAAGGATATTTTATTAATTATACATATATATATTATGTATATATTATATATGTGTGTGTATATATACGTGTATATATGTATATATAACACATATATGTAATAAGGACTTTTTTTGCAGTTCTAGGGATGGAACTATGCTCACAACCTGACAAGCATTTCTCTTTTAATTAAGAAAAAGAGGAGAGGCAGATCACTGCTAAGCTGTGGATGTATCCCAATGGCAGACTGTCTAGCATTAGCGCCTGGGTTTGAGACCTAGTACTGATGGAAGAAAGATAGAAAAAGATATGAAGAAAGAGGAAAAGGAGGCAAAGGGAGAGAAGAAGAGAACGAGAAAGGAACGTTGACTCAATAGAAATTCTGCTTTTCTATAGCTTTTTCCCCCCTCTTTGAGATCTAGATTTCTTTTGGCTTGGCTTGGGTTGGGATTTTGAAACAAGGTTTCACGTAGACTGGCCTTGAACTTGAGGTGCAGTGAAGATGACCTTAAAGTCCCGATCCTCCTGCCTCCATCTCCACCATGACGGGATTCTAGATCAGGCCTCACTCACGTCTCTCCATTTTAGAAAACAAAATGGTTCTCAACGGAGAGTTTAGCAATGCGCCCTGTCTTCTTTGACAGTAAAAGTACTCGCAGTACCACCCCCATGTGTATAACAGAATAATCAACATTTACCTCGAGCTGATGTTCGGATGTAGTTGCTACCTGAATTACTTACAAGATCAGCTTGCCTGCTGTGTTAGTCCCTTTGATGGAGGCTTGAGACAAAGCTGGACATGGGGCCTCACACCTATAATCCTGGGGTTTAGAAGGCTGAGAGAGGGTTTCGGTGTGTTTGAAAGTCAGCCAAAGGTATATAGGTCAAGCTGGGAGGGCAAAAGAGTAAGATCCTGTAAGGGAAGGAAGGAGGGGAAGAAGGAAGGAGGGAGGCAGGGACGGGTGGGGAGAAAGAAGCGAGGGATTAACTGCTTAAAGGTAAGAAAGGTGCATCTGAGTTTACAATGTCAGCGATTGCCTTCCACAGTTACTGGTCTCATTGCTCTGGACCTATGGAGAAGCAGAACATCGTAGTGAGTAATACAAGGTAGACCACAGCTGCTCACCTTGTAGCAGCTAGGAAACATAAAGAGAGACAGGAAGGGCTGGGACCCTGTAGCTCCTTCAAAGACAAGGCTGGGTGACCTGGCTTCCTTCCACTAGGTCCCACCTCTCATAGGCCCTACCGCTATCAGGTATAACACCACAGGCTGGCTGCCAAGCCTTATGCTTGCCTGTCTTGGCCAGCCGTTTATGACACAAACCTTAGTGAGGAACAAAGATGCTTCTTTTGTTCTCGCCCTGTCCACCACATTGCTGAGGTTGGTTACCCTCTCCTCTTCTGTAGCATGTCCTCCTGTGAGAGTGTGGACCCATGAGTGTTTTCTATCTCTCCATCCCCTCTCTCATCCTTGGCGTATAAAAGACCTTGAATAAATGTCACATAGATCTCATCTGAAACCAAAAAGTCTGGATAAATAAATAAATAAATAAATAAATAAATAAATAAATTGAAGGGGATATCAATACATTTCTACTCTGAATTCTTTATGAATATGATGTCTCTGACCCTGAAGACGCTGGCTATGGCCTTTGTGTCATGGTGGGTTTTTTTTTCCCTAGACTAACCTTTTAGAAGATTTGGCTGGGCAGTGGTGGCGCATACCTTTAATCCCAGCACTTGGGAGGCAAAGGCAGGTAGATTTCTGAGTTCTAGGCCAGCCTGGTCTACAGAGTGAGTTCCAGGACAGCCAGAACTACACAGAGAAACCTTGTCTTGAAAAAAAAAAAGAAAAAGAAAAAAAAAGATTTTTTATTTATTTATTTTTATGGATATGAGTACATTACAGATGGCTGTGAGCCAACACGTGGTTGCTGGGAATTGAACTCATGACCTCTGGAAGAGCACTCAGTGTTCCAAGCCACTGAGCCATCTCTCTATCCCCTTAGACTAATTTTTTTTTTTAACCTCGCCTCCCTTAAGCCCATTTTCCAAAACCTCTTTGGGAGTTAGTCTACTTTTCAGTTGTCTACTCAGCTGTTCTCATTGACTCCGGCATGACTGACTTATCAATCGAGCCTAAGATGATAAGTGTATGCATTAATAGTCAAGATTGGTCAAGATTACCAATCGTGGGCAGCAGAAAAAATCTGATCACTATTCCCTGTAACTAAAATCCTTTCTGGGAACGGAGTCCACGAGTGACCCTCCCTCCGTCCCATGACCTCAGTGACGTTCAGCGTCTCCGTTGAGCACTCTATGTCTCCAAGTCAAAAAGAGCAAACCACACTGGAAGCTACAATGTAAAACTCGAATCACCCATGTTACCACACACACAGTAGTTATCTCAAATCTTATGGTGTAGAATCATGTAGAGTAAAGGCACACTGGAGATTTTTTTTTTTTTAATGTTCATTTCTTACCATTTGTGCGTCCTTTATATGTCTTTGGGTTTAAACATCCAAAATGTTGTTCCTACATTTTCTCTGTCCCAAGGGCGCCTCCACGACTGCTCCTGACTGCCCCTAATGCTTTCTTCCAGGCATCTCCATAATAATAGAATCCACTCCCTGGGAAAGAAATGCTTTGATGGACTCCACAGCCTGGAGACTTTGTGAGTTGACCTTCCAGTTTGTTCGCCTTTTCCCAGTGTTTTCATGAATATTCTGAAGGAATCCAAACAGCCTTAGAGCCAAACTCGATGTTTGGTTTGGTTAATTGCCTGAGCCTTAAACAGATATTTACAGAGGTTTTATCTTACACACGCAAGCGCGAGCGCACGTACACATAAGCACACACACACACACCACAGAGCTAAACAATAAAACTACGATTCCGTTTTAATCTCTTGAGGGTGGCAAATTAGCGGGGGATAATTAGAGTTAGATGAAATCCGCCAAGTAAGCTGTGACTGCTTGCTTAGGAATGTGTGTTCTCCACTGAGGAGCACTCTCTCTTGTCAGGAGCACTGAACTGGGCGTGAGTTGGGGCCTCTCTTGAAGGAAAGCTGCCAACCTCGAGATCTAGGCCCTTCATAAGGCACGAGGTTCACACTGAAGCAGTCCACGGAACTACGTCACGTATGGAATATTCGCGTGACCACTGATAGACATTGTTTGAATCATTTTTACAAATATACTATTAAGCAACTCTTCCTATCCCGCCTTAGAGCCCATGCGTTACTTCACCAGGACTACATAGTTAGCCTGCGGCAGAACTGAGAATTGCTTCTTTCTATAACCTGATTCTGAAATCCACGTTTCCATGTGCTCTAGCACAGGTACAGTCAATAGCTCCGGGTGCTATGTTCCAAGAATTGGTCAAAAGTTCCGCTGGAGGCCGTGGCATGTGCCTGTGGTCTCAAGCTGGTCGTAAGACGGAAGCAGAGTGTCACTTGAACCCAGAACTCTGAGATTCACCTGGGCTGATATAGTAAGACCTCTATCTCAACAAACAACAACAAAAATAGCTCAGATTTTCATTGGTACTTTTGATTTTTTAAAAAAAAGGAGTCCAGTCAGCTGACCATATCCTAGATCCCAGAGCCAGGACAGAGGATCTCATAGTCTACCTTGAGGACAAGCCTCCTCCTTCTACAGGAGATGGTCTTAAATGCCCCGTTGAGCCAACAAAGAGCAACAAGGGTGTGTAGTAGGCAGCAAAAGATCTGAGTGTACTAGGCAAGGAATGTACTTGCAGGGATTTCCTCACTTCCCTTCCCATTTTAATACTGAAATACAATAAAAGACACAAGGCCTTATGGTGATCACCAAACCAAGTCTTCTAGGACCTTAGGGAACATGGTTTATTTGCATACAGACTTTAACAACCAGCCCATGGGCTATTTAACTTCTAACTAGTTCTGGATCAACCTGCTTCCTGAGAGACCCTCTCTCCTGGGTCTTCTTACAACTAATGAACACCCATAACTCTCCTTCCAGAATGACTTGTTGTCAAAAAGGAACTCATCCAGGCTTGACCTTGGCAGGAGGGGACAGCAGTTTCCATCACCGGCTAGGAAAAGTTACAATGTCTCTCTCATTAAGTAATATTTTCTCATCCCTAGCCACAGAACAATTGGAGAGAGAAAAACAAACAAACAAACAAAAAAACAAGATCAGCTTTCCTGGGTGTTTCCACAGATGCTTTTCCTGTCCCCAGTCCTGAGTGAAGAACCAGCCTTACCAAAAAAAAAAAAAAAAAAGCTTCTAAATACCACAAAACAAAAAGTTTCAAGACAAAAATCTGTACATCTTACTGTCTGGCCCCGCTTTGCCCAGGGCTACAGAGGATCAGTAAATTGGTTATTCCCAGCCCCTTCCTTTCCCTGACTAGAAAGCTAAGTAATTTATAAGGGTCCAGTCCTCGTTTAATCAAAAAAGAAAAAAAAAAAAAAGAAAGACCATCTGGAGAGATTTACAAACAGGAAGAAAATTTATGTCCACAAAAGAAGCGAGTTTCCTGCCTGCAGAATAGCTTAAGGATGGCTTCTGCCAGACAAGTAGGAATCTTGATTCATGCCAAACTCAGCCAAATTATCTTTCTCTTAAAATTAAATAGCAATCCTTGTCTACTGAGGAGGATCTAACCACATCTGATTGCCTTACCAAAAGGGTTTTCTGTGTCATTTGGGAAATCCGCCATACCCAGCGACCAGACGGCAATTCCTTTTTCTTATGAGGACATAGGTAGAGTAAGCCTATAAACCATGTGTGAGTAACGGGATTGAAAGCCATTTGTGTCATTACAGATAGAGAAATTAATGACTCTTGAGATTCTCTGGCGCTTCTGTTGCTGTGTGTGAGGGACAATACACAGCTTTGCCTCACAGACCAAGACAAACATCAGATTTCTGAATGGATCATCATCTGTGGCTCTGGAGAAACTCTAGACTTCACATCCGTGTTAAGAGCCCTGTGCATCACATCAACCTTTCCAAACACGTGTCTTGTCCTGGACTTCAGGCTGAGTGAGACACAGGCTCTCCCTACGAGCCAGGAACAAGGTGGTCCGCAGGTCCTGCTTCCTAGATGAGATCAGGACCAAAACAAGAAAAAGGATGTATCCCAGGACTGAAGACTGCAAACAGCAGGTGCCAAATCAGTGAACCAGGCGCCAGGGACCAGCTCCATCCGGAAGTGATCCGAGCCCACCAAGCAAGCATCACTCCTCCCCGGAAGTTAAAGCTGCCACAGGCCCCTCCCTGTTTTAAATGACCCAATGAAGCCATTGGTTTTTGGCAGGAAATCTCTGTTCTCCCGGGTTCATGACTATTGGAATGCAAATGTTTTCAGACTGTTGGTGGCCAGGGCCCTAGAGATATCTTAGCAGGTGAAATCACTTGCAGCTCAACTTGATGAACTGATTTCCATTCCTGGAACCCACCAGCGGGAGGAGAAGAATCAGCTCCCAAGAAGTGTCTTCTTACTCCCACAAGCAAGCTCGGTGCTCACACATACGCACACAAACACGTACACTCACGTGCACACACTCAAGCACACCCAATACAGTAAGCTGTTTTCAAAGTATTAGCAGGCAGCATGCCCCCAATAAACCCTCTCCTAAAAGAGAAAAAAGGAGAGCTTTCAGTAATGATATGGGCCTTTTGGAACAGCATACCAACTTACCTTATAGGTAGATTAAATAGATGATTTTACTGAAAATACTATGTATTTTCTTCCAGAGATTTAAATTATAATAACCTTGATGAATTCCCCACTGCAATCAAGACACTCTCCAACCTTAAGGAACTGTAAGTGCTAAGACAGGTTTGATGAATGAACGTTTATTTGTAAATTTATTTTAAAATTGGCATGATTGTTATGTATGATAATACAAAATTTTTAATACTGTTTTAAATAATTTTAAATAATGTACGAAATTTTTAAGTTTATAAAATAGTTAAGTGCACTTGAATATATTTTAACTGATTTCCTTAGTCAAAATCATAAGAATTTTAAAATTTATATGTGACCTCTTATATTTGTATGTAAAAACATATATTCATACAACCTATTTCCTAAGTGATGTATATTCTAGTGCTACTTACATTCTTTATAAAGATTTAATTATCTGTTAAACATTTCTATGAATCTAGACATTTTTGAGTTGCATAAATATAAAATTACATGAATAAAATTATATGTCCTCTGTATAGTGATAGATGCCTTTGCATATATTTTATTATGTGCATTATTCATTAAATGCTAGGTGAACCTTATTTAATTTTTTAAGCACAATTTCACTAAAGGTAAACTAACTTTTGACCATTGAGTGTTTTTAATTAGCTTTTCCTTTTATCTAAAAAAACTGAATAGCTTCTGCAAGTACTTGAAAAAAAAAATATGTAAACTTGGGACCTTATTTCCACAAAGCCGATGGATAGGGTAGGTTGCTTTTAAGGAAAAAGCCTTTGTGGGTTTCACCTCAGAGAATCACATATGTATCAACTGGGTAGTGTATTGACGGAGGGAGGCAGCCCTAACTGTCACACGCATGCGTATAGCCTCAGTCATGGAAAACCCAAAGATCCTTGAATCTGCCATTCAGACTACATTTGCCCCAACCGGGGGAATCGATTTGTTATTATAGACCCACTAATCCTTTTCCTCTTAAAGAGGTTCCCTAAATCTCTACTTCTCTGCTGCTGAAGTCAGTTTTCTCTTCTCCCAGCTTCAAACTAAGAGTGGGCTTAATCCTCTCTCCAAAGATAGCGCCCACTCAAGCTCTTAAGCCACAGTTCTTTACTGGATAGCAACAAAAGGATTTTCCTTTTATAACGTAATATCCTGTCTCCATAAGGCACAGTTGGGATTTGCACAGCCTCTCTCCCTCTTTCAAGGTTCAGGCATCCTTTGCCTTAAATGAGGACACAACCTGTTGACGATGCAGAGAGGCGTGACTTGTATCCTGGTTACTAAAGATGTTGATGATGGTTACGTGGTGGGGCAAAGAGGGCTAGTAAATAACACGCACACACGCGCACGTGCACACACACACACACACACACGACTTTACGACTTTCTGTAATATTTGTCTCTCTTTCTAGAGGATTCCACAGCAACAACATCAGGTCAATACCCGAGCGAGCGTTCATAGGCAACCCTTCCCTTATTACAATGTAAGTGGCCAATGTGCACCTTTTGCTTGTCCTTCCTGCCATACAACAGTTTTAAATGTTACACATTTAAATATAATCCGATTAACGCTATGTATGCGACTGCATCTTGTCACATCCTATGCAATAATCTGTACAGAAGTGTCGACATTGACATATTTCATCAGGTTTCAACTACACACTGAAATGATACTGAAGACTGATCTTTAAGGATCTGCGGTGTCCCTTACCTTACAGATGCCATCTCCGGGTGCCGAGTCACACGTCACAGCTAATATTACGAGGGCTTTTGCTCACCTACATTGTCCAATAAAAAAAAAACTGATTTTGGAACAACCAATGCTATACCACTTAGTCATTCAAGAATTCAACCCAAGTACTCTAGAAAAATAAATGATTATGTACAAAAGGCGGGGGGGGGGTCGTTGCAAACAGTTTGTCTCTGGCTTAAACTGCTGCCGTGAGTGTTTAATGGAAGGAATACTGTTTTATGTTCGCTGCCTGTTGGTTCACAAACCCCAGCCTTGAGTCACATTTAGACAAAATTGGGATGTAATTTTAGATAACTGCGTGTATTCTAGAAAGGAGACTACAAGGATTCATATATAATAAAATAGATTTATCATCACAGAGTATCAATAATGTTGTTTCACACTTAACACAGATAGGTTTATTACACATCAACATTAAGAAAATAAAAGTGTGTAAGTATTTGGTTAGCTTCTAGATAAAAGACACATGTCCAGGGTAGGTTTAGGGGATCATATTGGCCTTCGTGAGATCTATCATAGAGAAAATGAGTAAAGGCAACCATTGAACCTGGCCTAAGGATCCAGCTTGCCAGGGATTCTTCCTGTGCTGACTTGGTAGAGAGGCTTTCTGAAACCATGTGCCATTTGTCACAAATGAGCTGAAACCCCCCATTTAGCCTTGACAACTGGGGAGGATCAGGGAGCGAATACACAAGCAAACAAAATCATTCATCACCTCTGAAATGTGCTGGCAATATTTTGGCAAACTAAGGGCTTTGTATTCCATTGTGGAATAAACATTAGTCCTCATTAGAGAACATTTGCATATTAAAAGATGAGGAGATTACGTGGGCTTGGCCACTCTTCCTTTCAGCTCGGGACTGGCGTTTAATCAGTCTTTTGGCATGTTAATGCATCAGGAGAACAGCCCACACAACCTTTGGAGGACTCTCCACTTCCCACAGTGATGCACTTTCTCCCCTCCCTCCGCTCCCCTCACACGGGGGAGTTTTCATCTCTTGTCACAGGCCACCTTTCTAACACAGCCATCTCTGTGTGTGTTTTGTTTCAAGCCCTGTCAGCTGGTGATCCAGCCCTCATTTCTGCCTCTGAGATCTCCAACCCATTGCCTTCTTTTTGCTTCACCACCTCCCGTTAGCCATGACTTCTTGCTCTTTACCAGTGCAGATGAGGCTGGCCTCCCTGTCTCCGCCATCACCAGGGATGCTTGGAACAGCATCCTCCTTACCACTCTGTTGCTATGAAACAGACATCCAAGATGCAAGCTCTTTACCCTGGCATCCACAGTCTTCCACAGCCAACTTTCCTAACCTACTTCCCCAAAGCTCTCTCCAACAAGGCCATAACCCAGCCAACTAAACTAGGTTTGTACAACACAAAGATTCCATCCCTGCATGAAGATGATTGGGATTCTGTCTTTCATATATGTGTTTCAAATAGTATTTCATAAATTTTCTCTTTGCCCTCCCCCTAACAAATGAGAGAGCTGCCTCCAGAGAACCCCAGACCTTTTTACAGTAGTGGTGATACTTCTGCAGTTACACAGGCAAGCATATATATTCACACCTTCCCAGTGTATACATATTTATATGTACATAGTATAATCGAGGAAGGTATGCTCTGAGAATTCCAAGTGGAGCTACCAAGCTACTCTTTTCTTTAGTTCTTTTGCTTATTCTTTGAGAATATTCTTCCATGCACATATGCCCTGTATCTTGATCATGTGCAGCCCAGGTTTCCCCTCCCCCATTGCAGTTCTTTTAATGATTGTCTAATCCCAAGGGAAAGGAAGAGATGAGCAGGTAGGTAGAGTGGAAAGCGCTTAGGTGAGCTAGGTGACAAACGCGTCAGGTACCGTGTGAGATGTCGCATTTGTGTTAGCTTTTCCAGTTGTTACCCAAAGCCTGTGACGGAACTCATTATTATCTTAGCTTAAATTGAGGCTCTGGGTGTTAATGAGCTTCCTGGATAGCTGAGTGTCGATTCTCTCACTGGAGAATGAAGAAAGTTGTGTCTATGCGATAGATCCAAGTTGTTGCACAGATCAACCACTTCTTCAGACAGACAGGGATGTGCTGTTGCTTGCTTGACTCCGGATGACGCCAAGCTCCTTGAGGCGAGGAGATTTTATCATTCCTCTTGAATGATTTCCAGTGATAGCTTCTTTAATGAACAATTCTTTAAAACCCTACAGTCGCTCCTTCACCATTTGAGCATGGATTTGTTGGATTTCATTGAACTATCCCCGTGCCTCAGCTGAGAAATCTGTGTGGGGCTCCACTAACAAAAGAAGTTCGGCTAGATTCTGATTACATTTAAAAAGTCTATAAAACAAAATGCTCGTAAATTTTTAATAATGCCTCACATTTTAGACTTATATTTCAAGAAACTTCTTACACTAGATAAACCCCATAGTATATCATTTTTTCTCAAAAATGTAGAATCCTTTGTAGATTTTATGGTAATTATACTTAATCACAATAGAACCTTCTGTAAATATAGAGATAGTAACAGATAAATGATAGATAGATAGATAGATAGATAGATAGATAGATAGATAGATAGATAATAAACTATAGGTAGACATATAGATAGATGATAGATGGATAGATATGATTGATAGATATAGATAAGTGACAGGTGATCAATAGATAGACTGAATTGCAACATAAATTATGTTTTTGTTACTGAGTATTCACAGTGTTGGAGGCAGACAAAGTCCCTAAGTACAGTTAGTTAATTCACGTACTTTTATACTTCATAGCTATTATTCATTTGAGCTCTGCTGTACAGATTTGTTTTTCATTTTTATTAATGTTGGCAGCACGTATACAAAGTGTGGGTTTCATCATGGCATCTTCACACATTGTCATTTTTTTTCTTTGCTCTAAATCTTCCTCCTCCCCCAAAGTCTCTCCCCTTTAAATTTTATGTGGTAAAGATTCCTTACTTGAAAATCTCAGAAAGCAAGCTAATGAGATGCTTGAGCGGGCGGAGGCCCTGGCCTCTGAGCCTAGGAACCTGAGTTTGATGTTGGGAGCCCACATCCACAGCTTATCCTCTTACACAGAAAGAACTCGCTTCCATAAGTTATCCTTGTCCTCCTACATATACACTGTGACAAGCACCGGAGTCCACGCACACACACAGGAACAAACGAGCGAATGGACAAACGAATGAATGATCTTGAAGTATGAGTGGAAACGCTTTCGATGTTCACTTGAAACTGAGTAACTGGGATGTACTGATGTACAGTAATCAGTAAAGAAAAAACAAACAACAATCAGTAAAAACGACAAATGCACGTTAGTAGATTTTTTGGAATATATATTCTCTTGGCCATTAGCTTTGTTATGACACATTGACATTTGGATTTTGCAGACATTTCTATGACAACCCCATCCAATTTGTTGGAATATCTGCTTTTCAACATTTACCTGAACTAAGAACATTGTAAGTATCTATGGATCTTAAATGCTGCCTCCACTCAACCTGTAGTACTGCTGAAAAGACCAAATGAGAGCTACACTAGAAGTACTTTGGGCGGGGGATCGTAAAAGTGAGCCCGTTCTAGAATCTTCTCCAAATAACACTTAGCTATTTCTCCTAGGACTTTGAATGGTGCCTCACAAATTACTGAATTTCCTGACTTAACAGGAACCGCCACCCTGGAGAGTCTGTGAGTATTTGAGCAGACCCTTAGCTCCTCCCAGACCATGCATTAACTTTGGAGTTGATCAACCTCAACATCCATGAATCAAAACATGTCAGTGCGTGATGTGGGAATGAAAGAATTCTGTCTGGCTTGTGTTTTAACAGGACTTTAACTGGAGCAAAGATCTCGTCTCTCCCCCAAACCGTCTGTGATCAGTTACGTAATCTCCAAGTGCTGTGAGTATCAGTAAGGCAATGATGCTGTATAAACAGGCAACTTCCATTTAGGGGTAAAATGGCAGACAGTATCTCAACAGTCCATGGAAATGAGGAGAAAGTTCTTTCCTTGCAGGTCTCCAGGAGGTCATGGTTCCGCCTTTGCCTCTTTTGGGCCAGGCTCCCGGCCATTACCCTGGTAGCCATGATAGCGTATCTTTGTTTTCAAGAGCAAACAGCTACCCATTAGAGTTGTAGTTGGTATACATTTCCCTTCAGAAAATGAATGTGAACAAGCAAAAAAAAATCCTGCATTTCCTCTTCTAAAGGTTTCTTGGGGTAGAATAAAATAACTTAATGGATCAACAGCCCAATATTAATGTCAAAAATAAAATTAGCCAACAGGCACCAACTTTGATAGGGAGACTATAAACATTTTACAGTTATGGATAGCGTGTTCTAAAGTTCTGTCTGGTGGCCAATCAGCTTGAACGTTATTTCTGTTGCCTCCGATCTCATTTGCCCCTGCTTTTCCCATGTTTTGTAAAAAGTAGTTTATAGGAATTTGAATAACTTTATTTTGACACTTTGCTTTGGTTTTGTTATTGGTTTGGTTTGGTTTGGTTTGGTTTGGTTTGGTTTGGTTTGGTTTGGTTTGGTTTTTTCTTTCAATGCCACTCGACCCTCTTGTCCTCTCAAGCATTGTTGGGACTCATGATAAGGATACTCACTCTCCTTTAAGATGGTTCTTCTCTCGTGGAATAGAAGTCTATCACAATCAGCCAGACACCTGTTATGTCAGCATAAGCTTCTCTTGGCAGCTAAACCAGCACAGTGCAGATGCTATGTAGGATGGGACTGTCTGCTGCATGACTGATTCTGCCCTTCCTCATGGTGCCCAGGCTACCTTGTCACTGTAGATACTCTGTGACATGGTGTGCAGTCGCAGCACAAAGGAGGCTTTGTCAGTCATACGTGTCTGAAGGAAGGGGTATAAGGCAAGCCTTGAACTTCTAGCCCTCATTTCTCTATGAGAAGCAGCTACAGATATAGGAACTAAGATGTGGATACATTGATCAAAGTCATGCTTCAAGAAAGCAATGAATGGTATTTTTGTTTTGTATACTTTCATCTTGTACAGGCATGTTCACAAAGTGTTGGTGTGCTAATGTCCCATAATGTTGGGGTCAGATGACAACCTCAGGTATTGCTCTTGACCAAGAGCAGCCAATACACTTAACCACTGAATCTCTCTTGTAATCTTGACAGGAAAATCATGTAGAAGGACCACGAGCTTGAGACCAAATTGTGCTACAGAGAAATCTGGGCTAAGTAACAAGTCTGTCTCAAGCAAGTAAACAAGCAGAAAAAGATACTATTCCTTCTTGGTGGAACTTGAAATATGTGTGTGTGCATATTAGTGCTTCATGATAATGTGTTGCCATTTTCAAAGTTCCACCTACAAAGCTCATTCGTTCTTTATGACACACCTGCTGCCAGGTATCTTCTCTTTTAAGAAGAAAACCAAAACCAAAACAAACATCAATAAATGCTCAGGCCAACCAAGAGAAACCTATTGATTTTGAGACTAGACCCCAGGTAGGACTTTGATCTCTAATATAGGGTCTTTTGGAAGCATTGGTCCGAGAGCTACACTCCATTGCTGTTGTTGCTGTTGTTGTTGTTGTCCTTGTTGTTCATTAACATATGAGATTTCATTGTGAGTGTGCATTGTTCCCCCCTCTTGCATTACCTTCATAGAAATCACCTAGTCCACTATTTAGGCCACATGTGTGTTCTCTACTCACTAGCTGGCATTCTTACAGAAGTCATCCCACTCTGTATGAGGATACCCACAGTGTCACTGTCATAAGGTGATCCCAGGATTAAACTTAAGTAAAGCGATGAACATGGTGTCTATACAAGGATAGCTTGGTCCACACTAACCCTGGAATCATTACGTAGAAGGCACTCTGATGGTTCAGCCTGTGATCCCAGTTCCTGGGGAGGCTGAGACAGGAAGATCCCAAGTTCAACAGCTGCTTGGGCTACACAATATAAACATAAGAAACAATGGGCTCCCTGAGCAGCCTGAAGAAATTAATGTCATTATCATCTTTGATGATGTGCACATTTTCATAAGCCGCTCCTTTTCAACAACATGGTATATGGTTAAACAGGTCTATTTTGCATAGATGTACAGATTTTTTTGTTTGTTTGTTTTGGTGAGTTTATTTTTTGTTTGTTTAGGCAAAGGGAGAAGTCTTTTAAACCTCTAGTATTTACATACAAACTTGTATGTAAAATACAGATGTGTACTTACAGACAGCTTCACTTGAATTATTTATATACAATAATTGAATTATTCCTATATAAAACCCATTCATTCAATAAATGTAGGATAAATTATAAGGATAGGATAAATTGATCAATTGTAAGGATAGAATAATTAAAAGCCTCTTAGAAAATAATACTGATTTTTTTTTTAGTTGTTTTGGTTCTTTTAAGAGTTAGATTCAAGCATGAAAATGGTTAGTTGATTAGCTGATAACTTCTAAAGCATCAGACAAAAATGTTTTTAACCTCTATGTTACTTTATCTACTAGTTTTCTTTCTTCCTTTCTTTTTTTTAACTTTCTGCAAATTACCATGGCTTGTTTTAGATTACTTGTATTATAGTATAAATATGTCCAGATGTTTTTGTTATTCTGTAATTTGTTGAGTTTTGGCTGAAGCCTCTTTTAGATTTCCCCCCTCATGGTGATTGATTTCAAAGTTAGTGCTATGTTTTCAATGGTTGGGTTTTGTTTTTAAGTTGATTAGGAAAGAACCAGCAATGGCTTGTGCTAGCTGTAGAGAAACAGCAGTTTCCAGAGACAGGGCACAGTTATTTAATTTAATCTGTTATTCATTTCAGTAAGATAAGAACTAGAACATTGTAGATCGTCACTAACAAAATAAATAAATTAGGTAAATTATTTAAATCAATTAAAGGAGTACAACTTACATTTCAGTAAATATTTGAGCCCCTTGCCTATTCCAGTAATGCCTGTGTCTACCTGCTTCGTGTCAGGGCTGTGGGATTGTCCAGAGTCTGCCTTTGAGGCACGTCCCATCTTGAGGGCTTTGAAAAGAAGAGGAAGATGCATTTCCTTAAGATTAATGGGTAACATATTTTTCTCTTTTGCACCTTTTTCCTTTCCAGAGATTTGTCTTACAACCTGCTGGAAGACTTACCCAGTTTGTCGGGCTGTCAAAAACTTCAGAAAATGTACGTCTTTGAAAGTCTTTAAGTAACTCAGAAAAAAAATCAGAAGCCCAAATTCATGTTGTTCAGGGTTATTGGTTACTCCATCCTGGTCCTCACTGTGTGAGGTGGAGAGTGCCTGGAAAGTGTGCTAATAGCGCCTTTCTCATCCATCCACTGTGACATCAATTTTCTCCTTTGTTTTTTCCCAACTCAGTGTAGGGAACTGAGTGAGTCTGAGCTTGGGAAATTTCCCTTCTTTATGCAGACAAGGTCTCATGCAACCCACGCTGGCCTTGAACTTACTATGTAGTTGAGGCTGGCCTTGATCTCCTTCCTGTGCCTTCCTGTCTCTGTCTCAAGAGCTGAGTGACAGGTGTGTGTCACACAGGCTAAGTTCTCTCTTCCTTTTCAAATACAGCAAAGCTCCCACTTCCAGTGGGCAGTGCTAGTTTTACTTCCAGTGGGCGGTGCTAGTTTTGAATATGGCAGAAACCTTGGGTTTGTCTCCACAGGAGATAACTCTCGTTTGTCCCTGGAGATGCCCCGGATACTTTCAGAGTTCCTCTTTTAAAACTACTTCATCCACAAGATGTTAGCCACATTGCTTTGTGGTCGGTCACGCTTCAATTTTCATAAAACAATATCAACCGCCTCTCATTTCACGCTTGGTTTTCTTCTCGCAGCCTTCGCGGTGATGAAGGAAAAATATATATAAATTCATTTTCTAAAATGTAAAGATTTGAGGGGGTAGAAAGATGGTTGGTTGAGCAGTTAAGAGCACACGGTACTCTTCAGAGACCAGAGTTTCATCTCCAGCACCCACATCAGTCAGCTCTCAACCACTTGTATGTCCAATGTGAGGGGTCCAACTCCTCCGGCTGCCATAGGCCGTGGCACTCACAGGCACATACCCACATATGAACACATAATTAAAAATAAATCGGACACTTCAGATGAGCTTTAATGAATACACTAAGGGTTAGTGAAAGAAGTGTTCTCGAATGTTTCTTTGTGTTGTTGTTAGTGATGGTAGTGGTGGTGGTGGTAGTGGTGGTAGTGGTGGTGTGTGTGTGTGTGTGTGTGTGTGTGTGTGTGTGTCAGAGGCAAGAAGAGAGAAAACAGGGGTTCATGTACAAGACCACACATGTAGAAATCAGAAGGCAACTTTGTGAAGTGCCTTTTCTCCTTCCATCTTTCCTAGTATTCCAGGGATCAGGGGGAATCAAACTCAAAGTCAACAGACTTGTCTGGCAAGCACATTTACAGATGAAATCTTCTCCGGGGGGTCCCTGTTTTGTTTTGTCTTTTGAGAAAGGCTCTCACGTATCCAGGGCTGGCCTCATAGCCGAGGAGCGTCTCGAACTTCTGATCCTCCGTTTCCCACTGCCTAGGGGCTAGGATTGCAGGCATGCACTATCACACCTGGTTTATGCAATGCCGAGCCTTCCTGCCTGCTAAGCCGTCATTCTTTCCACAGGGTGATGACAGCATATGTGGGTATTGTTCTATTCTCCCTTGAGAGAACCAGCTTCTTGGAAAGAGAGACAATACTTAGGTGAATGTAAAAAAAAAACAAAAACAAAAAAAAAACAAAATGCAGTGTTATTTATGAAACAAAACCCAATCTCGTGATTGAGAGATAGTCACACTTCCTGTGAGACCACCGCACACCCTCTGCTCCTTTGATGAAGGGTATCTAATCCGAGTGTAAAAAATTCTCTGAAGTCTGTTGGAAACATTAACTCTGACATCCGTCTTTGGAACTCTTTCTTTTCAGTGACCTGCAGCATAATGAGATCTATGAAATTAAGGGTGACACTTTCCAGCAGTTGCTTAACCTCCGAGCTCTGTGAGTATCGCCCCACCCCCACCCCCCCTCAGCGCTGACTACGTCTCTCTGTGGGACCTTTTACCATTGCATTACTGTACATTTGTTTTGTTATTTATTTTTAAAAAAGACAAATATTTTTGCGACTCACCATTTCCAGGAAGAAATTTCGAAGTAGTAAATTAGTAAATCCAGGCATTGTATACTTAAACCAAAGTACATGTAAGACAGAGGCAAGCAGATGTCTGTGACTTTGAGACCAGTCTGAACTGCGCAGCGGGTTCCAAGCTAGCCAGGGCTACATAGTAAGACCTTGTCTCAAAATGCAAATTTTTAAAAATTAAAAATAGGAGTGGCAAATGTGTGATTAAGCTCTCAAACAATCCTTTAAAATGCACTTGTTATTAAAAAAACAAAAAACAAAACAGGGGGTGGGGGATGAAGGTATGGGGGAGGAGGCCAACTGCTCAAAGGCCTGCACAATGTTCCTGTCTGCAACCTGGAGAGCTGGAGAACGGAGCCTAGGAATCTGTGTTTTAGCAAACCTACCATGGTTTCAGTTTCAGTACAACTGTACTAGAAAATGCTTCTGTTTCTAGGGCAACCAATATGTAAATATTTTTGTTTTGTGATTTAAATGTTGGAAGTAGCTCAAGCCTTAGAACCCAAGTTCAATTCCTAGATGAACGTGAAAAGCCTGGTGAATTCTCACACACTTGTTATCCCAGCCCTGGGAGGACAGGGACAGGTGGAGCCCTGAGGTTTACTGGCCTGCCAGCCTAGCCCCAGGAAGTAAGGTCAAACTCAGTGAGAGACCCTGCCTCAAAGAAACATGGCAGACAACATTCGTAGAAGACACCTGAGATAGTATTCTGGCCACCACATTCATATGAAAAGAGAAAATTTTCCTTTAGAAACCATTCCATGGGCCCGGAGCTAGCGAGGCCTGGAGTGTGTGTGGGGGAGGGGCGATTGGGGGGAGGGGGCACGGGACGGGGTGGGAGGGCGAGCTTGACTATTTTATGAATTCAATTCACCTGAAGTAACTGCGGGCCCCAGCATCTTGCACTTATCTGAACCTGAGAAACATCGACTCTGATCACTTCTGATTTTCTCTAATGTCGGCTTCTTACTTATCTTAATGTCTTAGACATTTCAAAAATAAAATCTCCGTAGAAGACTTCCTAGTATTTGCAAGGCTCTGACTTTGATCTCCAGCACCGAGGAAGGAAGTCTTAAAGTCATAGTTCATTGTTTAAAAATATGGAAGTTCTTGCCTCTGACAAGAATTATCTGGAGAAGTTTACACTAAGGATTTTATTCCTGCTAAATTATCTACACTTTGACATATATGTATGGGCAGGTAGATTTCATTTCTCCATAAAATATTTTTCCTTGCTTTGAAGGATTTTATTTCTAACACATGTTTTCTTCTGTTTTACTTATATCTCGGTCAGGAATTTACTTGTCTATATCTTTTGGAGAGAATTTTTCTTGAAGGCGTCTCTGCTTATTTCAAGGCCATTTGTTCATGGCATGCACAAATGGTTTTCCAGGATCATTTTGTACTTTAAACTCTACTTTCTTGTCAGAGGGAGACACCCTGATATTTCTCTTTTCCCACTCCCATCTTCAGTCATTTTAGAAAAACTGCAATGAAAATTTATATCCATGTTAAAGTCAACCTTTTTAGCAGGAAGCTAATAAGGACTAAATTATCTACCTGATTATTTCAAACACTGTTGATTTAAATACGTATCTTTACTAATTTTATGCCATTATATCTTTATCTGAAGGAGAAATTGATGAGCCAGCTATTCTTCATTTAGATAGAAATTACACTGGGTAGATACTGGATACGTATGATAAAACATTGAGTGTTCTTTTTAACGTAATCTTCTCATTTGTCTTTGAAACAGGAACTTAGCATGGAATAAAATTGCCATCATTCACCCTGATGCCTTTTCTACATTGCCGTCGCTGATAAAGCTGTGAGTATACCTTTGCTAGTTTAGGAGATGTTTTTCAATAATTAAGGATAATAATCTAGTTAGTGAAAATGTTAGCTGTCTGATGTCACCCCCAGTGCACAGCCAGTGTGCTGTGCTCTCCCTGCTTCGAGTTGTTTCCTGGCCAGGGAAGATGCTCTACTCCTCCAGGACCTTATGAGCTCTTATGGGGGATCGCTGGGTGACAGCTGAGCAATCAGGCAGAGTGTAGTAAGATGAGAATTCATTCCTTATCTCCCGTTCCTCCACTCTCTGACAGAAGGGGGGTGGGCGGCAGAATCAACTGCTAAGCTTTTTATTAGTCCTTCCTATCCATTTTCAAATAAATGTGTATTTCCCCTTGATTTTAGATGCCCCAACTTGGCAAAACTGAGGCCAAATATAGAGCAATTTCAGTGCATCTAAAAACGCGTCTCCCTACAGTTCTGATTGTAAAAAGAAAAGCTATCAGAAACTCAAACCGACACCATTAGCGTTACCATTAAAAGGAAGGACCCTACTTAGAAGTTTTTATTGAGCGGTGTAATCGTCTTTAGGCTGCTTTCATAAACATGTACATTTTATGCGGATGTAGACTAAAAGCCAATTGTTTGATGTTCTGCAGGGACCTATCATCCAACCTCCTGTCTTCGTTCCCTGTGACTGGGTTACACAGTTTAACTCACTTAAAATTAACAGGGAACCGGGCCTTACGGAGTCTGATACCATCCGCAAGCTTCCCAGAGCTCAAGTGAGTTTGTCATTAAAACGACCAAGATACATTTGTGCTCATCTGAAAGAACAGATGTGTTGTCGTGGTTTCTAAGTTGATAAGCTCACGAGACCCTTGTGAATTGCATTTCATGCCCTCAGTCCCCACGCCTGGGACACTGTGAGGACAAGCCCGAAGTGGAAAACTCTTCCTGACCACATGTCCTTTCCCTCTCAAAGATGCTTCCTGGAATCACAGCGTTCGTGGAAAGAGTTTAAAAAGCACTGATCCGTGGGATACATAGTGGGCTGTGTAATTAAATAACATTGTAACTGTACTGCACTTCTGTTTACAATCTTTCTTTCATTGAGCATGTGTATGTTCTAATAAAATGGACAAAATTAATACCTATTTGAGGAAGCAGTGCCCTTGAAAACCTCTATGCTTATGAACAATAAAAGAACAACTTAAGGGTTCTATAAACTAAATCACAATCCTGTCTGTATACTCTAAAATGAAGAAAGTAATAAAGCCCCCAAAAGATAGGACGGAAGAGAAAAAAGAATATTTTAAAATGTCACTTTAAGCAACATTTTATGTTATTCGTTTCTAGGCTATATTTTACATTCTTTAAGTTATTAGAATCTAAGCATGCATAGGTATATTTTAGTTACTCAGCAGGATTTTCCCATAATTTCCCTGCCATTTGCTTCTAAAAAACATTTCATTATGGAAATTTTTTATCATTTAAATCGCATCACTCAGGTTCTGTTTGTTTGTTTGTTTGTTTGTTTGTTTGTTTGTTTTGAGACAAGGTTTCTCTGTGTAGCCCTGGCTGTCCTGGTCAAGTTCTATACTTATAAACACTTCATGTTTTTATAACTTATTATAATTGTATTTAATTAGTCATTGTAATTTTAATAACTGTGGTTCTAAGTATCACTAGAATGAACACCATTGAGCAAATAGCTTATATTTTTGATAATTGGTTTAGGTTAAACTCCAAAAGTAGAATCACTGGGTGAAAAGATAACCATTTCATGACCCATCATTCTTACGTGTATTTTTTTTATCTTGTCTCCCTTCTGTAAAGGATTATAGAAATGCCGTACGCTTACCAGTGCTGTGCATTTGGGGTGTGTGAAAATGTCTATAAGATTTCTAATCAATGGAATAAAGATGACAGCAACGGTGCGGACGACCTTCATAAGAAAGACACTGGGTTGTTTCAAGTTCAAGGTAAGGACTGAGGTCATGGGGAAGAAGCTGTAGTCAGAAAGGTTGTGAACCATTAGTACACGGACCATGAAAGTTCAGGATTCCCTGTGTAATCAATCACCCAGCAAATGGAGGATCAATCTTACTCCGTAAAGACTCACAAAGGCAGAATTGCCACTTACTCCATATGTAAATTCTTGGCATTTTTATTTATACTTAGCTTATCCTTAGCATATACAGTGCTCAAATGCGGTCACTATATCAATATTTCCATGCTTTAATTTTCTGGCCTGGAGAAAGGGGGTAATAGGCAGACATTTGTAATTCCTCCGTATTCCAGCAGAAGGGCCTCAGAATTTATTTTCTCAAGCAGCTAATTCTAAATCATGTTCTCCTCGTCCCCCACAGGGGTATCTGTCAGGAAGGCGAAATGAGATCACGTCTGTAAAGCCTGGGTTTTCCCTGCTGTAAGACGTTACTTAAACGGAAAGCAATGTATCTCCACACCTGTGGGGATGAAGAGACGCCTTGGGCAGCACCCCCTCCATTCCCTGCCAACCTTGCGAGTTTGCACAAAGTCCAACAGAAAAGCTTCTCATTCTTAGGGCCTGAGCGATTTGTTGGTTCCAACGTGTAATTCAGTCAGTCTGCTAAGTTTAATCTTCCCACATACCTATCAGTTGAAGGAGCTAACAGCCTTGGTGTTTGTTTGTTTTAGGTCACACAGCATGTATCACTCTGTTCCTTTGGTTTCAGCTCTTCCTGCTCCATCCACTCTAACCTCTTCTGCATTTACTCCTTAAAAATTTAAAAATTTAAAACATAGAGCCCATTATCTTCCAGACACTACATCAGCCCCTGGGACTACATAACAACGCTAAAGTCCTTCATGGAGTTTATTTTCAAGATTGGCAATTCTCAGCCGGGAGCCATGTGTTAGAAAGACACAGAAAGGTTCTGACAAATTACTGATGCCAGAGCTGGGGGCGGGGGGGGGGGGAAAGGAGGGGGCTGAGTGAGTCTAGGGCCTGGTACATATAAGCATGATGACCTGAGTCCAGACCTCCAACACCCACGTTAAACAACAACAACAACAATAATAAAAGTGGAATGTGGCAGCTAGCGCCTGTAATCTTAGTGTTGTGAGACACAATTAGAGAAATGATTAGCATTTAATGAGCAGCCAGCCCAGCTGAATGGGTGACTTCCGGGATCAGTGAGAAATCCTGTCTCAGGAGATAAAGAAGGGACGCGCGACGGGGCAACCCAACACCTAACTATGACATCCACATGTGTTCTTTTGAGTATCACATGATCATGTGCACCCACATACATGTGTGCACACATACACATAACACACAGAGAGAGAGAGACAGAGACAGAGAGACAGAGAGAGACAGAGAGAGACAGAGAGGAGACAGAGAGAGACAGAGAAAGTATATTGATTCATAAGTCTCACACAAAACCAAGAATATGAGCATCATTAGGAAAAGTATATCAAATTACAATTTTTGGGGGATAATTTTGTAAAATTACGCACCTCACCATTACTTTGTCTTTTGTAATGCAGAATTCCCCCAAGAGGGGGGAAATGATTTTTCATCTTGTGTTCAAAGAAAGTAGCCTAGAACATTCCCACCGTAGCTACTGCAGTATTAGAAAATGGGTCACTCCTCTCTCCGTGTTAGAGAAAGTTTCTGACGGGGGCGGGGGGGGGGGCAGAGAGGACTGGAGATCAGACCTGGGCCTTTGAGTATGCTAAGCAAATATTCTACCACTAAGGTATATCCCCAGTCTCCTGAAAACTGGATAAAAAGTGTTTCCTGCACTGGGAAATTTAAGACCATCACAAGCTCCAGGGCCCAGCAGAATCAGCAGGCTTGGGTATTTTAACCTAGAGGATATGGGAACATTCCGCCTCAACCCGCTATTCTGCTGCAGTGCAGCCAGAATAGCCAGGAGAGAACATCAAGGAACTTCCTAACTGACCTGCAGCAAAGTCTTGCCTTCGTTTCTCTTTGTGACAATTCATGTCTTGAGGGCAACCCAAGACTCTCTACAAGAGACCTCTGGTACATTCCAGCATTTCTTATTCCTTCAGATGAGCGGGACCTAGAAGATTTCCTACTTGACTTTGAGGAAGACCTGAAGGCCCTTCACTCCGTGCAGTGCTCACCTTCTCCAGGTGAGAGAGACATCAGAACTACCTTGGTATTGAGCATCGCTTGAACTCCAAGGCTTTCGACTGCTAGGGCTGTATTTCAGAATCAAAATCTCTGCTGACACATGGCCCCTCACTGTGTCTGACAGTCAGAACTTATAAAAGACAAATAAGCTTCAATCCCCTAGAGAACTTTTGTGGAGAAGTGTTGACTCAGGCTAATACAAACTAAAGAGTTAGCATATACTCAGAGGCATATAGGATTTAAAAAGCAATATTACTACTCAGTATGGAATGGTACCCCATAGCCTTGCTTACATAATCAATACATTTTTAATAATTTTGATCTTCTTTATAAATGACCATTTAGGGACTAGGAATTTAATCCAAGAATGAAGTCCTTGTTTAACATGCTTAGGACTCTGCCCTTCCTGGGTATGGTGATACATGCCACCAGACCCTACCTTACACTTGGGAGACAGAGGCAGGCAGATCTCATAAAGCTCAAGGCTATGCTGGTCTACATAGTTCCAGGACAGCCAGAGCTATATAGAGAAAGCCTGTCTTTTAAAAAACAAACAAACCAAAAAAGAAAAAAAAAACACGTGAAAACAAATACAATATAAATGAATTTTAAAATGTTTAATCACTAGGGGAGAAACAGTAGGTAATTTAGTGAGGAAAGGCACTGACTAATAATTTATTTCCAATAAATGTGTTCCTTGCTCTCTAAGATGTCCATTAAAGTGCACAGTCCTCCTGCCCAGACGGTGTCTCTATTTCCCCGGGAGTCTCTTTCTTGGGCTATGGAACCATAGAAACCATTCAGAAGGTCTTAGTGAGAAACCCAGGTCTGGCTTTTCACATTGCCCACCCTGAAATGTCTTGAGATTGAAGTTTCCCATTTGTATTTTTCTACACATCCTCCGGAAACACAAGAACCTGGGGCATCAATGCCTGGGTCAGTGCTACAAATCCCCAAGGTGGTCCTCCCGCTGGTTTAAGAAAGAGGATCAAGGCATTCGGGCACTGTTGTTACAATAGCGGTTACTGATCTTTTGCTACATCTGTGGGACCCAATCTGATACAGCCTCTCTCTTCCCTCCCCTCTCAGGTCCCTTCAAGCCCTGTGAGCACCTCTTTGGTAGCTGGCTGATCCGAATCGGGGTGTGGACCACGGCAGTACTGGCGCTTTCCTGCAACGCCCTGGTGGCTTTGACGGTGTTCAGAACCCCTCTGTACATCTCTTCCATAAAGCTGCTAATTGGGGTAATCGCGGTAGTGGACATACTCATGGGGGTCTCCAGTGCTGTGCTGGCTGTCGTGGACACGTTCACATTCGGCCGTTTTGCTCAACACGGAGCGTGGTGGGAAGATGGACTTGGCTGCCAAGTCGTTGGCTTCTTGGCCATTTTTGCTTCCGAGTCGTCGATCTTCCTGCTCACTCTGGCCGCGCTGGAACGAGGTTTTTCGGTCAGGTGCTCTTCCAAGTTTGAAGTGAAAACTCCCCTCTCTAGCCTGAAAGCAATCATTTTGCTGTGTGTCCTCTTGGCCCTGACCATCGCCACAGTCCCCTTGCTAGGAGGCAGTGAGTACAACGCCTCTCCTCTCTGCCTGCCCTTGCCCTTTGGGGAGCCTAGCACCACGGGCTACATGGTGGCTCTTGTGTTGCTCAACTCCCTCTGTTTCCTCATAATGACCGTTGCCTACACAAAGCTCTACTGCAGCTTGGAGAAAGGAGAGCTGGAGAATCTTTGGGACTGTTCGATGGTGAAGCACATTGCTCTGTTGCTCTTCACCAACTGCATCCTTTACTGCCCTGTGGCTTTCTTATCTTTCTCCTCTCTGCTAAACCTCACATTTATCAGCCCCGAAGTCATTAAATTTATACTTCTAGTGATTGTCCCACTTCCTGCGTGTCTCAACCCCCTTCTCTACATTGTCTTCAATCCCCATTTTAAGGAGGATATGGGCAGCCTGGGAAAGCAAACCCGTTTCTGGACGAGAGCAAAACACCCAAGTCTGCTGTCCATTAACTCAGACGATGTTGAGAAACGGTCCTGTGACTCAACCCAAGCCTTAGTGTCCTATACCCATACCAGCATAGCCTATGACTTGCCTTCCAATTCCGGGTCATCACCAGCTTACCCGATGACTGAAAGCTGTCACCTCTCTTCAGTTGCGTTTGTCCCATGTCTCTAGTTACTATGAGAGAGGAACGTTTTTAAGAGTTGGAACCCTGAAATACCATTTATATCGGAGCAGTAGCTAAGAAAAGCTGAGCTGAAACCTAGCTTAAAACACAAGCAAACATCTCTAAATTAGTATGGAAATGCTGACTGATGCCTTTGAGCCGGAGAGTGATGACCAATCTAAGCACTGCTTGGATCATTTGTTCAGCTAAGAAGTAAATTCATCAAGTCCACTTAGATGAACCCAGATGAGAAAAGCAGACTGAAACGCTCTTCAAAAAAAAAAGCTCTCTGGTTTTAATTGTATTCTCTTCAAACTCACCAGCATAGTCACCCGTAGTGGGAAGATTCACTGGATGAGTCAATGGGTGTATTTAAATCCACAAATTCCTCCTTTAAAAGGTTAGAGTTTTAAGAAAAAATAAGGAATTTTAATGGGCTGCATTGCCAACAGAGTTTCTTTTCAATGGCTACACAGAGATGATTGTGTGTGTTTTTGCCTTTTGTCGGACAGGGTCCTTCCAAGACACCAGTTTCTTGGATTGATAATATGAGACAATTTTTAATCCATACATGAATTTAAGGTACCGGGTTTTAGAGATAAGCCCTCAGTACATCCTCCCTTGATGAAATAAAACTGATAATGAGTTTTTGGAAAGGAATATTAGCTTAAATGGTTTCAGCCGTTACATATGGGTAAAATTTGATTCTTCTGATTCGTTTAAAATCCTGGAGTCTAAAAGCTCAGAAAGTTCATTGTCAGCAGTGGGCGTATCAATGAAAGACAGTACACAATTGTCAGATTTGTATTTATTCCTGAGTGGGAGCATGCTTTTGGCAAGATGTTTATCATCACCTCAAATGGCTGTACATCGGAAGACGCTCAAACGCAGGGCGTAAGTTCGTAAACCCACTGTGTAACTTCACACCCATCTCTGGTAGCTCTAGCCACAAAGCCTCACCACACTTCGGAGTCAACAGAAACTGGGCAAAGTATTATTCTGTGTATTTAGCTTGGTTTTAGCTGTGTCTTTTTTTTTTTTTTTTTTGGATCAACCACTTGATATGAAGAACATTGCTTCTCGGCTTATTTCGGCATATTAACACGGGTGGTTAGATGTTTCAAGACAAATTATTAAATTTGACATGTGAAAGGTTTATTCTTAACTTCTATGACCCTACATTAGCTTTGTTGCACCCAAACCAAAAGGCTATTAGGTAGATTTATTTTTTTATAAGCATGTTTTATTTTGACCAGATGTTTTAATGTGGAATTTTTTAAGAATACATTTATGAGATGTTTTATAAGATGTGTAATATAGAATTGTATTTATTACCTACAGGAAAGATGCAGTGACATTAAAGAACATGAAGATAAACCATGTTCAGTGGCATATTCTCCCAAACATATTGTTTCTCTGCCAATTTTCTCTAAATGCATTAATTGTATATATGTAAATACATAGTGAATACATGTAAATAGATTCAGAATTTGCTTTTCTACTGGCACAGAATAAATTTGTAATAAAATGTGTGACTTGCAAAACAAAATATATCTTTCAAGTGTATTGATTAAGAATATGGACAAATTCATGATCTTCTAATGTCTTCAAGTATTAGTATATATTTTCTATATATTTGTACTCTCATCCTTTAGATATGCTGTACTCAAATATTTCATGAGAGTAAATCAAAATATATATTTTAGCTTCTGAATTATCTTCCCTATAACTGATAAGTTGTGGCTATGGTATAATTTGTTGTCCCCAGGGATGATTTGGATTTGATAGCTTGCACTAGTTCCAAATTTCTTAGTAATACAAGAAAAAAAAAAGAGACATTTTAAAGCCTAATTAGGAAAAAAATTATGAAAAACAAGCCAACCTTAAATTGTCTAGGGTGGACATCACTTTTCTATAAATTTAATTTATAAATATAAATTTGACATATACCCATTTCATGACCATGTCAAGAACATCCACTCCCAGCATACAATGAAATGCACTGCTACCATTCAGTTCCCATTGCCCAAAACACAGGAAATATAATCATTTTTCTATATACCCTGTGTCAGACTAGCATCGTCAATAGGATCTGCCTGTGCCTCTCTGGGACATATACAATGGGGGATCAGCATGATTGCTAAAAGTAGCCAGTGTTGACAGCACACTCCCGGGATGCCTGGCACTATTTTCCACAGTCCCTCAGACTTACCCATATCCTGAATCCCAACCCTAGGTAACGGAATCCTGCTGTGTGGTCCCTACTTAATCTTTGGGTAAAATAGGAGCTTGTCCCTCTTGGTGCCATTCCTTCTAGCCTAGGTTACAGAGAAGGTACCTCTATAGTTCTCCTCACCACACTTATTCATTGGACAGTCTAAGTGAGAAACAAGCTCTGCCACCGTATCTATCTCTCCTGCTCAAGGAAGCATAGGCAATAATGTAATTTTTAAAAGGAAAAAGACTTGTATCTACCTTTATTTAAAAAAAAAACAAAAACTTTAATCCCAGCACTTGGGAGGCAGAGGCAGGTGAATTTCTGAGTTCGAGAGTTCGAGGCTAGCCTGGTCTACAGAGTGAGTTCCAGGACACCCAGGGCTACACAGAGAAACCCTGTCTCGAAAAACCAAAAAAACCCTCTCCACACTCCATTATTTTAATATCAAAACACTAGTTACACCTCTCAGAACCCTCCTGTCACATGCCTGATAAAAGCTCTCCCCTAAGTAGAAAGAATTGGAGTTAGCTCCACAGATGAACAGATCTGTAGGGAAAATATACAACAAAGATTTATAAGCTGAACAGTAGTAAAAAAAAAAAATATTAAAAAACTAACATCTAAATCATTTAAATGTATGGTTTCCAACGTGCCTTCAGGGATTGGAGAGATGGCTCAGCAAACAAACAAGCAAACAAACAAACAAACAAACAAACAAACAAAAAACGTTGATAGATCCAAGGTGTCAACCATCCTGAATTGGGGTAAAGCCTGTTGGCGCTTGGCAAGTTCCACCTCCCACAGTGGCTTCAGGAGAAGCAGCAGACCCAGGATGACGACCAGATTTTATTTTAGTTTAGACCCAGGAGTACAGGCAAGGTTCTGCATCTTGCAGAGGCTTTAGCAGAAGCAGAAGACCCAGGTTAGGAACCAATCCTGAGATTGGGTAAAGACCACTGAAGGTCCACATCATGCAGTGGCTCCGCAGAACCTTTGGACCCAGGGGAAGCACTGGATCTAACTCTGGGAAAGGCCCACAACTGCGTGGATTGCTCCACGACTCACAGTAAAAACCGTAGATCGATTTCGCCAAGATGATGCCGAAAGTGAAGAAGGAAGGAGGGAGAGAGGGAGGGAAGGAGGGAGGGAGGGAGAGAGGGAGGGAGGGAGGGAG